GGACTGACCTATCCCCTTCCTAACTCCCTACCTACACTCACCTTTACTGGCTCCATCCCCGCCTCTTCGACCTGTTTGTTTCCTCTCCACCTATCCTCTCCTCTATCCCTCTTCTATCCGCCTCCCACTCTCTCCCTATTTATTTCAAAACCCCCTTCCCCTCCCCCTTTTCTGATGAAGGGTCTAGGCCCGAAACGTCAGCCTCTCTGCTCCTATGATGCTGCTTGGCCTGCTGTGTTCATCCAGCCCTGCACCTTGTTGTCTCGGATTCTCCAGCATCTGCAGTTCCTACTATCTCTGATTCAATATGGTATTTTAACATAGGAATACACAGTACAATTAGCTTAATAGAAAACAAAACTCAACAAACAGGTAAGCCATCAGGATCAAGAGCACCTTGGTACCCAACCCTTGCTGTACCCAGTGGCTTAGCAGGATATTAACAGCCCTGTTCATACTTAATCCTTTTCAAATTACATATCAAACAGGGATTTTATTGTCAAATGAACACTTTGTTGCCACCTAACTAGCAACACTATAACAAACATTTAAGAATAGATGCAACCAAGTTATCTTTAATGAACAAAAGACAGAATCAGGACTCTAGCAAAACATTATACATTTATAAAAAAAGGAAAATTACTTGCTTTAGGGGAAATTAGCTAACAGGAAGCATAACAAAGTCCACATTTTAGTTTATACACTCATATCATCCATTATACTGCGCCACCTAGAGCTGCTGGTCTGGGTCTACGGCAAGTGGTGAGAGAATGTGAGCTCACCCTCACCCAATCTGCCTGTCTCAGATCTATCCATACGGTCATGGGTGGATGTGAGTGACCAACAGACTTTCCCTATGGTAACAAAATCTCGACTTGACATTGAGGGTGCCCTCTCTCTTGACGCTACTATTGTGGTGAATGAAATAAATTTCAAACAAATCAAACAACTCACAGATGGACATCCATGCTGCACTCTGGGCTATCAGCAGGAGTAGAACTGTCTTCCAACACAATTTGCAACCTCATGGGCGGGCATAACCCCCACTCTACTATTACCTCATGCGAAGGGGATCAACCCTGGTTAAAATGGAGAATGCTGGAGAGCATATTAAGAGCAGCACCTAGGCATACCCAGCAAATGTGTTGGTAATCCTGATGAACCTACAACAGAGGAGTATTTACTCGCCAAACAGCAAACAATAGGCAGAACTAGATGATCCCACAACCAAAGGATCAGATCTAAGCTCTGCAATCCTGCAGCACAGTTGTAAACGGTGGTGGACGATTAATTAATTGACCAGAGAGGGAAGCTCTATAATTATCCCCATTCTCAAAGATTGAGGAGTCCAGCACATCTTTGAAAATGCTTCAGCCTTATCTTTGGCAAAGCATCTTCAGCCAGGAACCCATCTTGGCCTTCAAATGCTCCTCCCTCGTTCTGCCAATTTACTTCACTCCATGTGATAAAGAAATGACTGAAGACCTGGATACTGAAAAGGTTCTAGTCCTGATAATATTGACACAGGAGTACTGAAGACCTATGCTCCAGAACTAATCAAGCCACTGGACAAACTTCTCTCATACAGCACCTACCTATATGTGGACATTTGCCCTGTTCCCAAGGACAAGGACAAACCTAAACTGGCCAATAGCCACCCCATCTGTCTACTCTCCATTAACAAAGTGATAGAAGTGTCATTGGCAGTGCTATCAAGCAAAAACTTACTCAACAATGGCCTGCTCACTGACACTCAGTTTGGGTTCTGCAACCTCACTCAGCTACTGACCTCATTACAACCTTGGTCCACTTGTAGACCAAAGAACTGAGCTCAAAAGGAGAGGTATGATAGTTGCCATAGACATCAAGGCTATCTTTGACGGAGTATGACAGCAAAAAGCCCCATCAAAGCTAGAGTCAAAGGGAATCAGGGGAAAATTTCTCTCCTAATTTAGCCATACCTAGCACAAAGTGAATTTTAGAAGGTCTTTGGAAGTCGATCATCTCAGGCACAGGACACCTCTGCGGGAATTCCTCATGGTAACGTCCTAGGCGCAACCAGCTTCATGTGCTTCTCAATTACCTGCTACCTATCTTAAGGCCAGGACTGGGGATGTTGGCAATGATTGCACAACGTTCAGCACTATTCATCACTCCTCAGATATTAAGGCATTTCTTGAGTGAAGCAGCCAGACATGGACAACATTCAGCCTAGGGCCAATAAACAAGTAACATTTGTACCACATAAGAGTCAGCAAGAAAGAATCCAACCATCATCCCTTGACATTCAAAGACATTACCAGTGCTGAATCCCTCGTTACTAAACAATACGGGACCAACCATTGTCCGGAGACTGGACTAGCACAGTAATAATGTGGCCACAAGCGCACATCAGAAGCTGGGAATCCTACAGCAAGTAATTCAACCTCCCCCTCCTCAAAGCCTGTCCATCAGCTACAAGGCATGAGTCAGGAGTGTGATGGAATACTCCCTACTTGCCTGGATGAGTACAGCACAAACAACACACAAGCAGCTCGATATCATCCAGACAAAGCAGCTAACTTGACTGACGCCATTTCTAATACCTTCAGATTCACTGCCTCCACTACTGAAGTACAGTAAGCAGTAGTGCATGCTATCTATAAGACGCACCATACCAAATCTCCAAGGTTCTTTCTTAGCAGAACTCAGGAAAATAAGTCAGATACTCAGAATATTCTCAGATGACTGATTGCATGATTTTGTGTGAATATGCATATTTGGAGGATGGGGTGGGGACCAAAAGAGTGGTAGGAAAAACACTTGAGGGCCACTGCTCCAACTTCTCCGATGATCTTGTTTAGAAATTAAGTATCCAAAGACAGCTGAATAAAAAAGGTTGGAATTTGCACTGTAACATTCTGCAAAGTACCATAGCTGTCAATCTTCCAGCTTTGAGCTCATAAGTAAAGCACAATCCTTTGAACCAGTGGGATACACTCAGGCCCCAATGTATGCAGACTTTCATGAGTAGGGCAAAAGTAAGGCTAATGTTAAACATTCAAAAATAGGATTGGTCCCTTGAAAAGTGTGTTACAAAAAAAAAGTAGGCACATGACAAGTTCTCTAGTTTCTTTCCTACTCGTCACCAGCAAAAGTTTCCCAAAAGGCCTGGTCTCCCATTGAGCTCTAACCCTGAACCACTAGTTTATTCATTCAGGGATGCTACTAAGCACCACTGTTACAAATGGTCTTCTTGACCACAGGCCCTTCTGGTCACTCTATATCCAGAGCGCTCATTGTCAATAAACTACATTCCAACTACAACAAGAAGTGGTGACATGGTGATAATGGGACTGGACTAATGAACTGGAGGCACAGGTTAATGCTATCACGACATGGGCTCAAATCTCATCACAGCAGCAAGTGGAACTTAAGTTCAATAAATAAATCTGGAATTGAAAGCATGTCTCAGTAATGATGCCCTCAAACTACTATTGATTGTTATGAAATCTGGTTTCTTAATGTCCTTTTGGAAATCTGCCACCTAGTCTGGCCTACACATGACTCCAAACTCTCAGTAAAAGTGGGTGACTGTTGATTGCCCTTTGAACTGGTGTAGCAAGCCTTTAAGGTTCAAGGACAATTAGGGGTGAGCAACAAATGCTGGCTTTACCAATAACGTTCACATCCAACGACCCCTCTAAGATACATGGTTAATCAGCCTGTCACCATATTGGCTTCTGTACACACCTCTGGGAGGTCTGCACAGCAGAAAAATAATTAGAAGGAAGACTGATCATATCCCACAAAAAGAGGCTAAGTCGAAAAGAGTGGGAGAGAAGCAGAGTAATTTACACACAATTGTACTCAGCTATACAACACAGTTTGACAGCTCAAGAGATAGTAGGAACTGCAGATGCTGGAGAATCTGAGATAACAAGGCGTAGAGCTCCTATGATGCTGCTTGGCCTGCTGTGTTCATCCAGCTCGACACCTTGACATCTCAATGCATGTAAAAATCCAACATACATTTCACAAACATTAAGCCCTCCTTCACCAGTCACTCCTCCTTTTCTCTTGGGGGTTGTTCATTAAACGTCAGACAATTTCTACCACTGCCAAGAACTGGATGTCTGCAAACAAATGCACAGAGACCGAGTACTAGCAAGTTACTGAGTAGCTGCGGAGCACACATGAGCAGATTAGGTTCATTACTTAACATGTCCCTATCCAGAGATGACAAATAATGTTGGAAGAAGAAAGTAATTTGGCCTATCATAATGCATTCATTTAAAGTGATCCTAAAACGTCCATTCCAATGTACA